ATTCATTTATTAGGTCAAGCAGTTTTTTGGTAGAGTCTATAGGATTTTCTATGTATACTATCATGTCATCTGCAAACAGTGACAGTTTTGTTTCCTCCTTTCCGATTTTAATGCCTTTTATTTCTTTTTTTTTGTCTGATTGCTGTGGCTAAAACTTCCAGTACTATATTGAATAGAAGTGGTGAAAGTGGACAGCCTTGTCTTGTTCCTGATCTTAATGGAAAAGGTTTTAATTTTTTGCCCATTGAGAATGATGTTGGTTGAAGGTCTCTCATATATGGCCTTTATTATGTTGAGGAATGCTCCCTCTATTCCCACTTTGCCAAGTGTTTTTATCATGAATGGGTGCTGTACCTTATCAAATGCTTTTTCTGCATCAATTGATATGATCATGTGATTTTTATCTTTGCTTTTGTTTATGTGATGTATTACATTTACTGATTTGCTAATATTGTACCATCCTTGCATCCCTGGAATGAATCCCATTTGGTCATGGTGTATGATCTTTTTAATGTATTGTTGGATGTGGTTTGCCAATATTTTGTTGAGGATTTTAGCGTCAATGTTCATCAGTGATATTGGCCTGGAGTTTTCTTTCTTTGTTGTGTCTTTATCTGGTTTTGGAATTAAGATGATGTTGGCCTCATAAAAAGAGTTTGGGAGTCTTCCATCTTTTCGGATTTTTTGGAATAGTCTGTGAAGGATAGGGGTTAGCTCTTCCTTAAATGAATTCTCCTGTGAGATGAATTCTTAGCTCTTCCTTTGTAGAATTCTCCTGTGAAACCATCTGGTCCAGGGCTTTTGTGTGTTTGGTGTTTTTTTGATTGCTGCTTCAATTTCTTTTGCTGTTATTGGTTTGTTCAGGCTTTCTGCTTCTTTTTCATTGAGTTTTGGAAGATTATTTTTTTCTAGAAATGTGTCAATTTCACCTAGGTTTTCAAATTTCTTGACATACAGTTCTTCACAGCAATTTCTTACAACCCTTTGTATTTCTGTGGTATCAGTTTTAATCTCTCCTCTTTCATTTCTGATTGTGTTTATTTGGGTCTTCTCTCTTTTTTTCTTGATGAGTCTGCTTGAAGGCTTGTTGATTTTGTTTATCTTTTCAAGGAACCAGCTCCTGGATTCGTTGATCATTAGAATTATGCTTTTAGTCTCTATGTCTTTTAATTCTGCTCTAATCTTGGTTATTTCTTTCCTTCTACTTGCTCTGGGCTGTCTTTGTTGTTGTTCCTTTAGTTCTTGTAGATGTAGGGTTAGATTGTTTGTTTAAAATACTTCTATCTTTTTTAGGTATGCCTGTATCGCTATGAACTTCCCTCTCGGGACTGCCTTCACTGTGTCCCATAAGTTTTGGGTTGTTGTGAGTTCATTTTCATTTGTTTCCAGAAACTTTTTGATTTCTTCCCTAATTTCATTATTGACCCATTCATTATTTAATAGCATGCTATTCAATCTCCATGATTTTGAGTGTTTTGGATTTTTTCCTTTGGGGTTGGTTTCTAGTTTCAGTCCCTTGTGGTCTGAGAAAATGCTTGGTATGATTTCAATTTTCTTGAATTTGTTGAGGCTTGTTTTGTGTTCTATCATGTGGTCTATCTTTGAAAATGTTCCGTGTACACTTGAAAAGAATGTGTATTTAGCTTCTTTGGGATGGAGGGCTCTGTATATATCAGTTAAGTCCATTTCATGTAGGGTATTATTCAATGCCACAATATCTTTGTTGATATTTTGTTTGGAAGATCTGTCCATTTTTGACAGTGGGGTGTTAAAATCCCCCACTATAATTGTGTTGCTGTCAATATCTTTCTTGAAGTCCTCTAAGATTTTCTTTATGTATTTGGGTGCTCCTATGTTGGGTGCATATATATTTACAATATTTATGTCTTCTTGGTGGATTCTTCCCTTGAGTATTATGAAGTGACCTTCTGGGTCTCTCTTTATGGCCCTTTTTTGGAAGTCTATTTTGTCTGATATGAGTATTGCTACCCCGGCTTTTTTTTTCCTGTCCATTTGCTTGGAAGATTTGTTTCTAGCCCTTCACTTTCAGCCTGTGTAGGTCTTTTATCCTGAGGTGGGTCTCTTGTAAACAGCAGATATGTGGGTCATTTTTTCTTATCCAATCAGCTATTCTATGTCTTTTGATTGGAGCATTTAATCCATTTACGTTTAAGGTTATTATTGATAGGTACTTATTCATTGTCTTTTATGTACGCGTGTTCCTCTCTCTCTCTCTCTCTCTCTTTCTTCTCTCTTTAAAGCAGTCCTTTTAGAATCTCTTGCAGAGCTGGTTTGGTCGAGGTGTATTCTTTTAGACTTCTTTTTTCTGGGAAGCTTCTTATTTGGCCTTCTATCTTGATCGAGAGCCTTGCTGGATATAGTAGCCTTGGTTGCAGACCTCTGGTTCTCATTACCTGGAGTATTTCTTGCCTTTCTCTTCTGGCTTGGAGTGTTTCCATTGAGAAGTCAGCTGTTAGCCTTATTGGGGCTCCCTTGTATGTTACTTCCTTTTTCTCCCTTGCTGCCTTTAAGATTCTCTCTTTGTCTTGAAATTTTGTCATTTTAATTATGATGTGCCTTGCGGTGGGTCTCTTTGGGTTCCTCTTGATTGGGACTCTCTGTGTTTCCTGGATTTGTGTGACTTTTTCTCTCGTCAAATTAGGGACGTTCTCCTTCATTACTTGTTCAACTAGGTTTTCGATCCCTTGCTCTTCTTCTTCACCTTCTGGTATCCCTATTATACGGATATTATTACGTTTCATATTGTCTTGCATTTCTCTTAATCCCTCCTCATTCTTTCTGAGCCTCTTTTCCTTTTCTTGCTCTTTCTGGATGCTGTTTTCTACTTTGTCCTCCAGCTCGCTAATCCGATCTTCTGCTTCATCAATCCTGCTTTTCATTCCTTCTACTGTGTTCTTCAGTTCAGAAATTGTATTCTGAATTGCATTCATTTCCTCTTGACCTTTGTTGAGAGTTTCTATTTCCTTTTTCATGTTTATATAGTTTGCAGTGAGATTGATGTAGTTTCCCTCTAATTTCTGAAAGCTCATTGTGAGTTCATTGAACTTCCTGGTAATCATTGTTTTGAACTCACTATCTGACAGTTGAGTTGCCTCTATTTCATTTAGCATTTTTCCTGAGGCTTCCTCGTTTCCCTTCAGTTGGGGGTTGTTTCTTTGTTTTCTCATTGTTCGTGGGTTTCTTCTTTTTTCTTCTTGTTTGTTAATTTGAACTGTTCTGATTCCCTGTAATTATGGTGTGAACTTCTGTGGTAGAATATTTGTGTGTTTCAGTGGTGCAATCTCCTTCGTGTATCCTGGTGTTCACAGCTTCCTCCTACTCTTTTTTGGGATCAGTTGGAGGAGTAAGGCAAAATGGTTTAAAACAGCAAGACAGTATTCTATGATATTTACTTTAGCAGCCAGTAGAGAAGAGATGGGTTATCCTTTGGCTCCTTATAGTGTTAATCATGATCCTCCACCCCACTATCCACATTTTAGAAAGGATGGAAAGAAGGTAAGACTCTTATTGGGGCCGAGAGGATTGTTAGTTAGATCTAGAAAGCTGTGAGGCTGTGGGAGGTCAGCTTCTAAGGTAGGGTTGGACTAAAGATTAGTATATAGGAGTAGTGAGTAAAAGAATAGAGACAACCCCCACAATAGTATAGTTCAGAAAATTGCAAAGTGGGCTGAGATCAGGTAGGGGGTATTGAGAAGCATTTACAATTGTATAGACTAGGTCTTACTAGCAGTAATAGTAAAGTGACAGTCTTGTGGCAGAATAGATGAGGTCTAGATAACAAGAATAAAGAGTATAGAACCTTGAGAGGTGTATTAATGGAACACAGATGAAGGATAGTAACTTATCAACACCTTGTGACTGAGATACCAGGGGGAACCTATCAAATGACAGTATAACCAGCCAAGCAAAGAAGATTATACAGAAAGAAAAAGAATACCAAAATATTATTAAAATAAAAAATGTCAGAAAAGTGAGAAAAAGATAATACAAATTTACAGTAACTTGCAAGATTAAAAAAAAAGAAAGAAAAGCAGAAGATGTAGTGCAGAAGAGATAAATTTGGAGTGGAAAGAATAATATTAGGTTGAAAGGAAGAGAAACATAAGGGATTGCGAGATAAAAATAATAAGAATTGAAAAAAAAAGTCACATAAAACACAAGATAAAATCAATAAACCAACAACAGCCAGAGAAACCAAACAAAACCAAACAAAATAAAAAAAAAACAACAACCAAACAAACAAAAAAAAAACCTCTTGTTGGTTTCTAACTGGCCAGACCAGTTTTTCTGATCTTGCTAGCTTCAGCTGGCTGAGGGGCCTTTGAAATGCTTCTCTCTCACACAACCAGATCTCAGCAAGTCTGTCAGGTACCCTGGGTGCACCGGCACACACTGGCGCGCGAGAGTCAGTCTTCCCCACGATGATGTGCGAGCCCAGCCCTTTCCAGCTCCGTGTTCCCGCTGAACCGCACTCTGACTGGATGTTGGCGCCTTTCCCAGCTCCCCCAGTTGGGCTGGCTGGAAATCTCTGAGCCACCACTGCAGGAATGCACCCAGCACCACGTCCCTCCCAGGATCGCAGCGCGAGATTCCAGGATTGCAGCGCGTGATTCCGGCCTCCCTATGGGGCGCGAGCTGAGCGCGGCCGGCTCGTGCTCTCCATCCATCTGCACTTCCACCGGGCTAGAGATGCCCCTGGTCCTGTCGGCTAGAGGCTCTCACTTCTCCTCGGTCTCTGGGCGGGTGTTCATAGTTGTGGGCGATTTTTTCCCAGTCTAACTGGCCAATCTGTTCCTTCTAGCAACCCGTTCTCCCCTGGAGTTGCTCACCCCCGTATTCGGGGGAGGGAGGGAGCAGCGGCTTCCCTCTCCTGGGAGCCCTGGGGCAGAGCCCGGAGCACCAGGTGGGCCTGGGGTCTGCGCACCCCCAGACTCCGTGCTGATCCCTGGGCCCCTTTTGTCCTGTATCAGACTCCTTACCATCTGGTTTTCCAGTGAGTGCAATAATTTCTGATGTCCTGCTTTCAAAAGTGATTCGGCAACCCAGCCCACTTGCTCTGCCTCTCCACCGATCCGCGAGTTTCCCCCCTCTTCACAGAAGCCGAGAAAAACGCTGCCTAGAGTAAAGCCGCCATCTTCCCTCTCACAATAAAGTGATTCTAGAGGTTGTGGTTAACTCTAAAAGGAAAGATAAAAAAAGAGGTATGAGGATAACAAAGGAAGAAAAAAAATTTTATTTGCGCATGATATATCATTCATCTAGAAAATGCAAGTGTATCAACAGTCAGTAAATGTATTAGAAATAAATGAAGAATACTACAAAAATAAAATTATCAATAAAAACTAATAGTATTTCTCACATCAGCAAGAACCAACTAGAAAATACAATAAAAGATAAGAAACCATTTAGCAGAGCAATAAAACTCTAAAGTATCTAGTACTTTACTACAAGGATATATAAAAAACCTATGGAGAAAACTTTAAATTTCTAATAGAAAAAAAATAGAAGATCTACTACATCAATGGAAAGTCACTACACAATACTTGAATATGACAACTTAAAATTATGAAGATATAATTGATAGCCAAGGAAACATACAAATTTAATGCAATTCTAATGAAAATTCTGGTTGGATTTTTGTTGTTGTTGTTGAGGAACTTTTTAAATTTACTCCAAGTTTATATGAAAATTTTGAAGGCCAAAAATAGATAAGTCAACCTAAACACAGAAGGATAAATAGGAGAGCTTACCATATAGTAAGACTTTTTACAAAGCCATATCAGTAAAATATGTTGGTTCTGGCACAAGAAAAACATAAAGTCAATGGAACAAAATATGAAACTCAGAGTCAGGAACCTAACATACAATAAAGCCAGCACCACAAATCACTGAGAAAGGACAGATTTTATAGCCCCCTATTTAAGAAAATAGCTAATTATGTGAAGAAAAATAAAAGTAGATTCCTACCTAACTCCTTAGTCAAAGAGAGACTCCTCCAAATGAATCATGAATCAAAATACGAGATATAAAATATTAAGTTAATATTATAAAACATAAGAAAACACCATTGTGATCTAACAAAATAAATTATAGCTTTTATTATTTTACTATTCAAAGTAATTATTATTTTTCTTTTTTTTAAGATTTTATTTATTTATTTGTAGAGACAGGGGAAGGGAGGGAGAGAACATCAACGTGTGGTTGCCTCTTGCACGCCCCCTACTGGGGACCTGGCCTGAATCCAAGGTAAGTGCCCTGAGCCATACCAGCCAGAGCTCAAATCATTATTTTTCAACAGGAGATAACATAGATAACATTGACAAATTACAAATAAGTTATTTTCAATTTCTTAAATTAACAGTAATTAATATACAGGGTGGGGCAAAAGTAGGTTTACAGTTGTGAGTACACAAAACAGTTTATTCTTGTATTATTTTTTATTAATTATTCTATTATTTTCCATATGAACACAACTATAAACCTATTTTTTCCTCACCCTGTATAGAACAGACAATAACTCCTACAAATAAATGAGAAAGAAAACACAGCCAATAGGAAAAATGCACAGAGGGTATGAATTGGCACTTTACAAAAGAAAAAACTGAAAAAGTTAATGGGTTTATAAGAGATAGCCAGTTCATTGGAAATCAGAAAAATTAAAAATAAAACAATGAGTTCTTAACTTACTCTTGTAGGTTGGTAGCAGGTTGAAAACTGAATAATGCAACAGTTCGTAGCAATATGTACTCCTAGTAGGAGTACAGAGACTACTGCCATTCTGGAGAGCAATCTGGAATTACTGGGTCAAATTAAATATATATATATATCCTAGAATCCAGAAATTCCCAGAGAATAATGAAAGCACTTGGAACATTTATAACACAAAGGAATAATATTTACAGACACAAATATTTACCCAACAAAGGACTAATAGCCAGAATATCTTAAAGCTACTTATAAATTAATAACAAAAGACAAAGGAATTATTTTTTAAAGGCAAGAAACTTGAATAAACACAAAGAAACACAGTGTATACAAATGGTTAATAAGTCATGAAAAAAATGTTCTCATCTTTTTAGGTATTAGGGAAATGCAAATTAAACCACAATGAGTTACCATTTCATATCCACTAGAATGGCTAAAATTAAAGTGTCAAATATTAACAGTGGCAAATATTGACAAGTATATGGAACAATTGATATACTCCATATTGCTGGTAGAATTGTAAAGTGATGCAAACATTTTGGAAAATAGTTGTATCAAGTTTTCCCTGGCTGGTGTGGCTCAGTTGCTTAGAGTGTTGTTCCATAAACTGAAGTGTCATGGGTTTGATTCCCTGTCAAGGCACATGCCAAGACTGAAGGTTCAATCCCCAGTCAGGGTGTATGCCAGAGGCAACCAATCAATGTTCCTCTTTCATATCTATGTTTCTCTATCTCTCTTCCCTGACTTTCCCCTCTTTCTAAAATCAATAAGCATGTCATCAGCTGAGGATGAAAAAAGAAGTTAAACATACACCTACCATTTGACTTAGCAATTCCACTCCTAGATATTTACTCAAAAAAAAAACCCCAAAAACAGAAGTGTATCTCCTCAAAAAGATGAGTACGAAAATGTTTATAGCAATGTTATTCATAATAGGCAATAAACTGCAAACAATACAAATGCCCATCAACAGATGAGTGGATACTACTCAAGAGATAGAATTCTAGTTAGCAATTTAAAAGTATGAACTACTGATATACATAGTAATTGAATGAACTCAAAAATATGTTGAGCAAAAGGAACCAAACACACAGAAATACATAATGAATGATTGCATGTATACAAAGTTCAAACACAGACAAAATAATCTACAGTAGAAATCATAACACTGTGCATGGAGGTTGGGTATTAATTTGCGGGGTGTATGAAAGAATCTTCTGGCATGACAAAAATGTTCTTTATTTTGGTTGGGATGGCAGTTATTATATATAAGTATCTGCATTTGTCAAAACTCATTGATTTATGTATCTAAGGTGCATCCATTTCACTATTTGTAAAAATCACAATAAAAATATGAGGATGATACCACCAACAGAAAGAATAGATGGGGTCAAGTAAAAGCCATGAAAAGTTCACTTTGGAGGGGAAAATGCAATGATGAAGAGAATTAAAGTAAACACAAAAATCACATATCTCACTGACTGAGCAATGTTCCTCAAGACTGACTAAAACTAAACTTTTCTATTTCATTTAGCTCCAGAAAATATTTTCCAAATCTTATACAATGAATCTTGACTACAATTAATTTACTGAAATAAACATGTCTTCAGCGACTTCATTTCTTGTTTTGTGTATGGGACTGCTAAAATTTCCTTAAATATCCTGAACTAAAATGAAACCCCAACACAGATTTTTGTTATTCTGTTTTTTATGAAGAACTAACATGGTATTAAATAAATTTTTAATTAAAATTCACCCAGCAGTTTTGTTACAACCTTCCACACATCCTACTATAGCTGTATCATTGTCTTAGGAAAGCTATCCATGTCCTTTTCATTTATTCTGAGATCATCCTTAATTCAGTTAATTGCAGGAAATTCCCTAGTTTCTTACTAACCTGCCCTAATAGGATTCAAAAATAAATAACATAAATTTCCTATATTTTATAAAATTAGAAGCAATTTTTTACAGATTTTATTTATTTATCTTTAGAGAAGGAGAAAGAGAGAGAAATATAAATGTGTGGCTGCCTCTCTTGCGTCCCCTACCTGGGGACCTGGCCCACAACCCAGTCATGTACCCTGACTGGGAATCCAATCAGGGACCCTTTGGTTTGCAGGCTGGCACTCAATCCACCGAGCCACACCAACCAGGTGGAGGCAATTTTTTTAATTTAAAAAATGCATATAAAATGTATCCCATTTCAAAACTCTCAAAGTTCAAGATTGTCTTCAAAGCACTATTGTGTTGGGTAGGAAAAAAAAACTTTGCTTTCCAGTTAGGGTAAATGGAATGTGAGATAGAGGACAAAGGCAGTATCCTTTTAGTTCAGCTTTGTTACTCCTCCCTGGCTTCATGCCTGTTACAATAGTACATGCCTATTAAGTTTTAAATGAACAAAAGAATGGGGGCAGTTGCTTTCAACCAAATGAAGTGCCATGAGATGTTGGAGTACTATCATCTGTTATGTGTTCAAGGTAATTAGTCCTGATAATAAAGAAACCTTTTTTTCTGAAAACTACATTGTTTTAAAACTATTTATGTTGACATCTTTTTGGATTTACAGAAGACTTACAAAGAAGTATAGGGAGTTCCTGTATGCCCTTCACCCAGTTTTCCCTAACGCTAACATCTTGCATAATCATGGTACATTTACACACTAAGAAATTAACATTGGTACAATACTATTAACTAAGATACAGGATTATTTGGATTTCACTGGTTTTTCCATTAATGTCCTTTTTCTCTTCTAGATTCCAATCCAGTATACTATGTCACATTTAGCTTTCATATCTTCTTGAACTTCTCCAACTTATGACATTTACTCAGTCTTTCCTCATTTCTTTTTCATGATCTTGACACTTTTGAAGAATACAGATCAGGTATTTTGTAGACCTTCCCCAATTTGGGTTTGTCTGATGTTCTTTCAGGATTAGACTGAGGTTATATATTGAGAGGAAGAGTACCACAGAAATGATACGTCTTTTTCATCACATAATATCAGGGGTACATGATTTCAGTATGACTTATTACTAGTGATGTTAACCTTGATCATTTGGATCAGATAGTATCTGCCAGGTTTCTTCAATGTAAAGTTACTATTTTTCCCTTCCCATATTGGAGTCCTTAAATGAAGTTTCTAAATCAAGCTCACAATCAAGGGGAGGAGAATTAAGTTCCATCTCCTGGCAGAAGCATTTGTGGACATATGTAAAAAACACTATAGCAATTAATAAATATTTTTGGAAAAATATTTTCAGGCTATGCAAATATCCTGTTTTTTTTCATGAAAGTATTGTATTGCTCACTCATTTCAGCATTCATCAGTTGATCTCACCTATAACAGCTATTACTGGTGTGCAAAGAATATTTTTTCATGTATTTATACAAATGTTATAGCCAATTGAAAGTTACTCCTATCATGCCACTTTCACTCGAACAGACACTATGGGTTGCCTGTCCCTTCCTGCCT